GATTGGGTGGCAAAATGCCACCACCATTTCCCTAAGAGAGCAATGTTATGCTTTCTTAAATTTCTAATACCCAAACCCCCCTGGCTTTTGGTTAAGAGAACTTTGTCCCAGGATATGAGATGAATTTTACTATTCTCAGCTTGACCAGACCAGAGGAAGTTCCTCATAAGCCCTTCAAGGCGGTTGGCCACCGAGGCCGGTATTTGGAAAAGAGACATCATGTAAACATGAACATTAGTTAAGGTAGCTTTGATAAGGGTGGTTCTACCCCCAGGGGACAAGTACCTCCCCTTCCAACCAGCCAACCTTCTGTCCATCTTATCAATGACATGGGACCAAAGGAATTTTTTAGGTTTCTCGAGGCCTAAAGGAAGGCCCAGGTATGAAGTACGGAGAGCCTCCACCTTACATTCCCACCGTGGAATAAGGTCTTTGATAAGGTTGGTGGTGATAACAACACCCATCATTTTTTATTTCTCCATATTTACCTTGAATCCAATGGCCACCTGAAAACATTTGAGGGAGATTATGTGGTTGTCCACCTCGGAGGGGGAGGCATCGAGAAACACTAGGGTGTTGTTTGCATATTGCAGATGCGACACAGTAGGCCCTCTCCTGGATGAACAAAAACTAGAGAGAAGACCAGCTTGGTAGAGCCGCCCTAGGGAACGGCTAAAGACTTCAGCCGAGATCGCAAAAAGGAAAGGGGACAAAGGGTCCCCTTGGCGCAGGCCTCTTGAGGACTGGAAAAACCCTTGGGGAGTACCATTGATTAGGATAGAGAAAAAGGGGTGGGAGAAGCACCCCCTCGTCCAATTTTGCCATCGGTTAGGGACGCCCATACGGATCATAGTCTCATTCAGAACCGACCAGTTAACATGGTCATAGGCCTTTTCCCTGTTAATTTTGAAAATGAGTCCAGGTTTTTTGGCTAGGTGTCTGGAGTGGATGCATTCATGAGCTATCAAAGCCCCATCAAGGATTTGTCTATGCTTAATAAAAGCCGACTGAGAGGGGGGGATGACCGAGGGAAGAACTTGCTGAAGTCTAGAGGCCAGTACCTTTGATAGAATTTTATAAGAGGAGTTGAGCAAACTTATAGGACAGAAGTCCTTAAGTTTTTCAGCCCCTTCGACTTTAGGGACTGGGGTGATGAACGTTGCGTTGATCGATTTGTTAATGATACCCCATTGAAAAAACTCGACGAAGAATCTTAAGAAATCGAGGCGAAAAGTTTCCCAAAAGGTCTTAAAAGGGGCCACAGGAAACCCAAGAGGCCCAGGAGTTTTGTCTTTGACGAGATCATACATGGCTTTAAGAATCTCCTCTTCGAGGAAAGGGCGTTCTAACCAGGTTGCCTGATCCACCGAAAGGGTTAAGAAATCTAAGTCATCCATGGAAGGTCTAGGACCAGAAGGGGCAGTGTAAAGGCTCTAGAAATAATTGATGATTGCTGATTCAATCTCCGCCGGCTGTTCGAGGTAGCAGCCGTTAACTTTGATGGTCGAGATTGAATTGTGTCTCCTACGACAATTAGCAATCCTATGGGAGAAACGAGTGTTAAGGTCCCCTGTTTTCAGCCAGTTGACCCTTGACCTCTGAAACTAATAAATCTCTTCTTGTTTAAGAGTCGAGAGATACTCCAGTTTAGATTGGGATCTAAGCTCAGCTTCAGAAGAGGATAGGGGATGGGATTCTTCCAGGCTATCCAAGTCTTGTAACCTCGTAAGAAGTTTAAACTTGATCAAAGAGAAATTCATTGAGACCGAGGATCTCTAGGACTTGAAAGAGGCTTTAAGAAGCTGAATTTTCGATTGAAGCCTGAACCTGCTCTACCGTTGACTTGGGCCGAGAAGGAGTTCCACTAAAGAGGAATGAGAGTGGAGAGAGACTTCTCTTCCATCCAGGCCAATTCTAATCTGAAGGGTTTAGGGCCCCTATTACAAGCAACGGTAGATAAGAGGATAGGACAGTGATCAGAGATAGGTTTAGGCAGGGCCACTGCATGAGACCTTGGAAACTTTTCCTCCTAGTCAACGGAGAACAAAAACCTATCCAGCTTAGAAAGAGAAGGTTGAGAGGAGTGGCTGGACCAGGTAAATCTATTACCTTGGAGAGGGATATCTAGCAGGTCATTCCTTGTAATAAAATCGAAAAACTGAACCATACCCTGGGAGATATTGGCAGAGGAGTTCCGTTTATGAGACCAACGAGTGATGTTAAAATCCCCACCTAGGCACCAAATAAAATGAGGGAGGGAAGCGACATAGTCCAATTCGGAGCATAGCCGCGGTCTAGAAACCGAAGAGCAGGGGCTGTAAATGGCCGAAAATTTTCAATCCAGGCCGTCGAAAACTTTGGAAAGAAGTAGAGTGACCGAGAACTCCCCAACATGTGAGGAAATCATGGTATGATCTGTGGGATCCCAAATTACCCAGATACCCCTTGAGGCCCCTACTGCGGGTAGAGCTACCCACTGGCAAGGTCGCCTACCCCAAGCCTGACGCACTTGGAGTAGGGAAGGCTATGGGTTCTTAGTTTCAGAGATGTCTAAAATAGAAGGACAATGTTTGAGAGACGGATCCTTAATGGCCTTCCTTCTCGAAGGATGGCCAAAGCCTCAGATATTCCATGAAACTAACTTCATGAGGAAGAGGCAGAGTAAAGAAGGGAGGCAATTCTGGGAAAGCACCTCAACAAGCAGTCTTGAAGGGGGGAAGGGGACCTCGCTGAGGAGAAAGAACCCTGGGACGCTAAAGAGGAAAAAAGATTCAGTAGTTCTCAATTGCAGCTCCGTATCGAAAATATTACGATTAAATGCAGAAATATCTCTAGGAATATTACAGAAATATCTGTTTTCCTCAAATAATGATTTTTTTGGGAAAATGAAGCGACTTACACATAAATTTTACAATGTCTAGAATTCATAACAATAGACAGAAATAATCAATTTTTATTTCTAATAATTTTGTGGTGTCTAAAATTCCTAACAATAGATAGGAATAATAATTTTATTAAAAGCAAACTACTTTTCAGGGGAATGAGATCACTTACTTTCAGAGCTTTCTTTAGCGGATACAGACTTAACCTAATCACCACATTCGGACCAGGGCTGAGTCTGAGGCCCTAGCCACTGAAATACCATTAATAGAATCAACCCAGCCCCTAATTAGATTGATGTTGGCCAAGCCTGTCAACACGTTCAACTTCATCCTGTGAAAATGAAATCTCGAGACCGCGGGCCGTAAAAACGTAGAAATGTCTCCCAAAGATATCGACTTGAACTCTTATATATAAGTTAAGCATGGTCGTTGCCCAAAATGAGGATGTCGTTCTTGTGAAACTAAGAATTTTGAGTCTTTCCCATAATTCGAGCTTTTCCTGAGAAGTGTGAGTATTGGGTTGGTTGGCCCTTCCCATGCATCAATCTCCCCATCAATTGAGCAAAGTCCAACTCTACAAAAAGGCGAGGCTTCAAATTATGCAGCACAGAAGCTAGAGTTGCAGAATACAAAATTCTTTGAATATTTTCGATATGGAGCTGCAACTGGGCCTTCACGTGTTCATCTGCTTTACTTTGGCCTTCAAATTCTCTCTCTCTATATAGAGCAGCAAGCCTCTCTTTATGAGCAAAACAAAGCCTATACAAAGCATACCCACTTCCTATAATCTCCACTATGACAAAAACCTTTCTTCTATTGTCCACTATTGAACCATACGAGAGAGAGAAACACAAAAAGGAACAGCCAAGAGAGAGAGTTTCATTGTAATAAAGGTAAGAGATAGAGAGTCTCGTTGGAATACAGGTAAGAGAGAGAGGGGTCTTATTATATTAAGGATAAAAGAGAGGGAAATTTTGTAATACCTCACTTAAGAGGTGTCAACAAATAATGAAATGGGTTGTCAATAGGATACCAAAGGGGTTGTTAAGTTGTAACGTTGAGAGAGAGAGAGAGAGGCCAACGAAATGGTGTTGCCACGTAAGGTGGTGAAACACTACCTTTAAGGTACAAATGAAGTGTAGACCATAAGGTCTACACTATAAAAATAAACTAGCATCAAATAATAAAAATTGTTTTGGAAACATTTTATGTAGAAAAAGGCTAACAGTCTCCTACCAGTTTCAGAATAACAAGACCTTTTTCCAAATATATCAGGGAAGATGAAAAGAATGGTCCCTATGGTGTATTACTAACACCATGGTTTCTCATAAAATTATTGTTATTATTATTATTATTATTATTATTATCATTATTATTATATAATTATTATTATTATTCAGTTTCAAAACTTTTGGGTTGTCAAAGGGGGGGTGTTGAATGAGATTGGGAGAATGGAAATTTAAGAATGAAATAATAAAGAGGAGGGAGATCTGATGCAATTTGTAGATTTAGTTGTTACCGTTGAAAACTTCGCCCTGAAACTCTAAGAGTCAGGCAAGAGAAAAAGGGAGGACTGATGGTGTTGAGTGAAATTGGGGGAATGGAAATTGAAGCATGAAACAATAAAGAGGAGAGTGATTGGATGCAATTTTTAGATTTAGATGTTACCATTGAAATCTTTGCCCTGAAACTCTTTAGGAGTCTGGCTGCTCTCAATGGTAAAGTAAAATTGAGATAGTGACTCTGTTTTCCTGGAGAGATCTGAACAATTAATGATACAAAAAAGATCATTTTTCCCGAAGAGATCTAAACAGCTGATGATAGACTCAAATATATCAGTAATGATCTTGGTTGTAACATTTAACGCCCAGAAATTTTAGAAGGAAATATATAGGAGGACCTTTTGATTGAAGAATTATAGAATATAAAGCGGACAGTTATTGCAGAAACTTCAATTATGGTAATATATTGAAAACTTGGTAACAACCTTATACCCGTTAGACTTAAAAGCCATTAAAATGGTCGTCTTTCGTGTGATATCATACTTATTTAAAAGGGCCTATTGTGTGCATTGAAATGACAATCATTATGTTGATTTTTCCGTTAGTCTTATTTCAGCCATATCTATGAGCCATCATCTATTGTCACCGGCACTATTGATTATTTAGAGGAGCAAAGAAGATCCCTTTTGCGGATCCAAGCCAAACATGGAGTGGAGGTGAGAAAAGTTATAAAATATTTCCCATTGATAAAGACGTGCTACAATTGAATAATGTGAATTACCTTTCTATTGTGAAGATTCCTTGTGAATTGGATGATCAGTTTTCTGGAATGGTTGAGGCATGGGCATCTGGCTTAACTTGGAGGGAAATAATGATGGACTGTGCAATGGATGATGGAGATCTTGCCCGCCTCCTACGGCGTACAATTGATATACTCTCTCAAGTAAGTATCGTCCTTACTGTATAACAGTTGATAATATTTTTGTTTTATCTTGAGTTTAAAATTATGTTTTTTTAACTCGTAATTTTGATTATGTTACCATCAAAATTAGAGTACATAGGATGCCATATGTACAACAACTATTATGCATTATTCATTCTCATTTGTACAACTAGATGTTATGATATATTGTTAATGCCTTCTAGTGTTTTCATTACTTAATTTCTAGGAATATCTGAGAAACCTGAATCAATTGGTTAAGACAGCTTCTTTGATTCTTTCTTATTCTTAAATATACTTTAGGTCAGAACACTTCCTAATTTATTTCTTCATTCCTGGATTCTTTTTTGTAGAGTGGTTGTTTTGGATTAAATTTGCCTACTGTAATTGTATTAACCATTCCTTGCATTGTCAGTCCTTTTAAAAGCTAATCTTTTAAAATTTGTGAACTTTATAATATAGAAAATTTCATTTGATCAACCAGATTTCATTTGTGTGCACAATAACCAGGTGCGAAACTTTTGAGTGTGCATTAGCTGATTCAGGAACCCCTCAGTTTGTGTTTCATGCACTCACAATACCATTCATGAAGAGAGCATTGTCATTGATATTGTATTATAATTTCCATGTATTATGAGATGTATATTTGACATTTATTTATTTGTGCATAATATATGTACATCTTGGTGATTGTCTTTTTGTATAGTCAGTCTATTTATTTCCATATAATTTGTGCATAATATATGTACATCTTGGTGATTGTCTTTTTGTATAGTCGGTCTAGTTATTTCCATATAAGACCTATTCAATCATTTGTGCTTATCAAGTAATCCCAAAAGAAAGATTATTAAAATCAAATATGATGTAATTTCAGCATGATCCTGAATTCTTTATCTTAAACTTCAAGAACAGATTTAGGTTTCTTGTTTGTTTAGATCAGTGTTTCATAGAACATGGTTCGGACTGGGAATCACCCCAAGGAATCGGTTGAGATTGCCCCCCCCCCTTCCCGACCCCAAAAAAACAAAAAAAAAAATCTTATTTATTTTTTAATTTGTATTTCTTTTCATCCTTTTTTTAGATGTATTCTAGTCTCGAAAGTCCCCAACAATGTTTTATTTTGTTTAAAGTTTTTTATTTTTAAATATTTTCCTAGGTCGCCAATCTGCTCTATTCGGATCAGCAAATCTGGGTGATCTAGATTGGATTGGTGGTGTGGGCGATCCGGCCCATCAATTCGGTTTTTAAAACAGTAGTTCAGATACACAATCAGCCGAAATTAATCAGATGCGCAATCAGCCAAAAGCAAATATTTGGGATAAGGCTCGGATGAAGATGGTTTAGATACACAAGCAAACTAACTACTCCAACATAAGCAGTTGCCTTGCCATTGGGCAAGAGTATCTGATCTCTATGGACTTGGAGTAAATACTAATACATGGAAATAAGTCTTTGGCATACTGGGTCAAAGCTCCTTACCAATTTTGATTGTGTTAATTAGATAGATCGACTCTCTCTCTCTCTCTCTCTCTCTCTGTTGAATGAATAAATGAATGAATATGAATAGTTCACTCACATATTCTGTTCTGAATATGCTCCCTTTATCCAGATTCCAAAATTGCCAGATATCGACCCATCACTTCAGAACAATGCAATTCTAGCATCCAATTTAATGGACAGAGTACCCATCAATGAGCTTGCAGGATGAATTATTTTGTAACATCCATAGTTCCCATTTGGAAGGCACAGAGATCTACTGTGTGAAGTCTGGTGGTAATTCAGTCCTTGCACTATTTTCATTGGGTTTAGTTTCCATCCAAACACATATAACATGGGCTGTGAGGTCCTGGGTGACGGTTCTCTGATTACTACTAGACAATGGTGCTTCACGAGTTAAACCTTGTATTATGACCTGCACAACTTGGGACTTCAGATGACAGGAGTTTCATATTCGATTCATCCCTTGTCTTATATCTTGTCCAATGTAGTATGTAATGTTACTGTTATAATTGCCTAATTTGTATTCCATTCTCATATGTGGTTTATCAATCATAAATTTTAGTCTACAACATTTTCTCCATCGGGTCATGGGTTCTATGTACTATTTAAATATAAGAACTGGTTGCCAGGGCATTTGATTTATGGCCCATATAAGAAGGAAATAGGCTTCTGGGTGATACGAAGGTGTGAAACCCATTGTGGGCCTAGATCTGGGATGACGGAACAAAATTCTTGTTTCCTACTTCCTTGCTAGTATATTTTGTAATTACCTTATGAAGTAATAAATTGTCACCTTTTTTCAAAAAGAATAAAAAAAAGGAAGCATTTACGACTTGGTGATAGAGATCAAGAAGTGCTTTCCTCAAGATAAATTGTCAAATTCTGTGATGTACTACTAGGGGCTGTTTGGTAACCTGGAAATATATCTCTTGGAGTTGCATTTCCTGAAAGGTGGCCAATTTCCTGTTGAGCCATTTCTCCACAAAATGCATCTCCCACCTACTCAAAATATTTATTTCGATGGGCTCAATAGCCCTTCATGCCTGAAGAAAAGGTCAATCTCTCCCTCATTTTTGTTGGAGTAATTTACTTATGGCCCCTAAAAAAATAGGGAAAATACAAAATGATCCGTTTATGGCCTAAAATTCCAAAGGTCAGACGTGCGATATTTTATTTTTTTTCACAGTTGCCCCTCGGTTCGAGGATGGCATCTTCAGATTGTTTGGAATTCTACATATCACAAGAACATGTGACGATCCGAAGATGACATTCTCAAACCGGAAATGAAGTTCCAAGCGGCCAAAAGATGTAAATCTCTGACCGCAAATATTGCAAGCAGTCTAAGATGTAGACCTCGAACCGTATTATTCACGTTATATCAGGAGGTGGTTCGAGGTTGACATCGTTGGACCGAAAATGGACTTCACAAGGCGGTCCGAGGATTCCAACCTTGGACCGTAAATGATGTTCCAAGCGGTTCAAGGATGCCAACCTCGGACTGTGTTATTCACGTTAGACCAAGACAATCTTATTTCTTTTGGGAGAGATGAAGCATCATCTTGGAAAGAGGTACAATGGTATGTGTCCTGTTGGCAATTTTTCTCGATCACAAAATATCCCGAATAACTCCATTTTAGATAGAGAAGGACCGTAGCACATGATCAACCCATACTTTGGTGACATGCCCGTGTCTATCCATGTCTGCCGTATGTATCAAATCTCTTACGAGTAACTTATTAAGATTTATGCAGGCGACTTCTTTCTCTGTAATGCCATCCTCACTTCCTATGAATCCTTCCAAAACCTAGTCAATCTTGAGCAAGGAATCTCATACTCCCCGATAAATAAGCAACAATACAAGAAACAACACAGGTGTTCAGAAAATTGACTCGGCCAAGGTACTCGGACCTTGGCTGAGGTGAGTCACTTGGCTGAGTTCAGGTCATGCTTTAAAAAAGAAAAGAAAAGAAAAAAAAAGAAAAGAATAAAATTAATGAGGTTTATTTATAATAAGATGTCGAATTTTTGTCATGAATAACGAAGTATTGGTATTAACGGTGTGGTGCCTGGTGCCTCAAGAGGTTCAAGCATCGAATCCTGCCTCTTGCACCTCACATAGAGGTTCAGGGATCGACCTGAGGTAACCGAGATGTGCACAATCGCTAAAAGCCACTTTGATATTCTAGAAATAAGGTAGTGAATAAAAATATATATAGAGCTCGATGTTATAGTACTCGGTCTCGCCCTATCGAGGCTGAGTAACTCGAACGATTCCGAGTCACTATAAAAAGATCCAAATCCCTGTAACTTAGCTCCAAGATCGCCCTGACCTTGTCATCTCAAATGGATTGTAAAAAAAAATAAAAATAAAAAATTTACTAATAATCTCAAATGTTTAATGTTCTTATGTGAGTCATACCCATGATTGGTAAAAATCCATAGAGTGATAAAAAAAACCTTTGGGAGTGGCATCCATATTTTCCAGTCAAGCTCAGATACTGGAAATCATTAAGAGTGCAAAAGGGAAATATAATCAAGATCAGATACTAATGACTATCCACCTAATTTTTTAACCTGAAGACCAAAGAAACCAAAAATAACTAACATTAAAGAAAAACTATAATAATTTACAAAGAAAAAAAAGAAAAGAAAAACACTATCTAATTCTACTTGTCCCAAAAATAACTTAAGCTTTACCAAGTGAAATTCATAAATCATGATTGTTGAATTAATAGGACAAATCTTATGTTGATTAGAATCCTAAAAAAATAAATATTGAAACACAATATGTTCTTAATATAAATGTTCAATTAGTTCTCAAACAAAAGAGACAAAATATGACAAAACATACTCTAATCCAAAAGATCTCGCAACTATATGAAGTACAAGGGAAGTTCAATTTAATATTCCCCAGATGATCCAAGAATCTCTAGAGAAACCTAGAAATACCCAAAAATCTAGAGATCCTAGCAAAAAATTGAGAAATTATTTTGGAAAGTTATGCCCAAGAAATGCATCCATATCATTCCTTTATATATATATATATTTAATATATATATATATATATATATATATATATTGTTATTTTTCTTAAATTTTTATTTCTATAGGAATAATGAAGGGTGCCAATTTCCAACAGTGACTAATTCATCTCAGCCATCTATTGTTGATCACATGGCTAACAAAATAATATTTTTAATATGATGTTTGACGTACCAATGTTGTTCATTAGAGAACAATTAGTATGTTATGTTATTAATCATATGAACATTTGACGCTTGCTATGAATGTTTGTGTATTTTGAAAACTAAGGTATTTTGAATAGTCAAAAAGGAAAATTGTCTGGTAATCCATCCAAAAGGAAAAAAAAACACAATAGGTGTACCAATGTTGTTCATTAGAGAACAATTAGTATGTTATGTTATTAATCATGAACATTTGACCCTTGCTATGAATGTTTGTGTATTTTGAAAACTAAGGTATTTGAGTAGTCAAAAAAGGAAAATTGTCTGGTAATCTATCCAAAAGGTCAAAAAACACAATAGTTGTCCTTTTTTTTAACAAAAGTGAGGTATTTTTGCATTACCTCTTTTTTTTATTTTATTAAGCGTGGCCCCTATAGTCCGTACTCGTGGTGGGCCGAAAGCGGTCCATTACTGACTCGATGGTGGTCATGCCGAGAAAGTTTGTTGCATGCCACCATCTGGAGACTTATCCAGGGGTGTTAATGGCATTCAAGTTTTGTATATTTATATCCTCCTTCTAGATTTGAAATGTCGTTTTCCTTTCTTCTACTTTTTTTTCTTTTTCTTTTGTTTGTTTCTAAAAGTTAATGTGTTTAAATATAACAATGGGAAAGTACAGTAATGCTTACCCATGACGGCATGAGAAAAATGGTGTACTGAATCCTTAAAACCATATATACCTATGTATTTGATTGTTACATAAAAAAACATCTTGGTGTCACCTAGGTTAAAACAAAATATGTGTTGCCTCGCGACAATCCATCATCCATTTCAAAATCTATCCTGCAAATTTGCAGGGAGCATCGTCACCACCTTCCCCCGTAATTCTGCACCACCACACCACCACCACCACTACAAAGGAAATACATCGCAGGTGGTTGAGTGATGGAGTCTGAAGTGGGTGGGAGTGGTGGTGGTTGGTGGCCTAGTTCTCTGGTGTGGCGTTTCGGATAACCATGATTCTGCGCAAAAATAAATTTACAGGTATGATCAATTGGAGATGAACCATTCCTCCCTTAGAATTAACAATGAAGGATTTGATAGGAACAATTACATGTTGTCAAGAACAGGCTACTGAGGCTACAAAGTTTCCTTGAAATGTTAAGAGAGAAATGCTAGAACTTTCATTTTCTATTCAATTATGTAAAAGGTGAATCTAAGGCCTTATTTGCAGTTCAATCCTGTCAGAGAAACATGCCTACTTACCTTCATGGGAAATTTTGAAAGACTATAATCTTTAGTGTCCATTTTCATGTTAGATATATCTACTTTCATATGACTATTTGAGGCAGGAAATTGTTTGTAGAAGTTGGTCACATAAATGAACTTAGCCAACCCACAATTTGTAGAGATTATGACCACCTTTTTAAAATAACCACCTTTTTTAAAATAACCCACAATTTCTTTTTAAAATAACTACCTTTTTTAATGCAGTATATTTTCAAAGACATGACGCCAACTAGTTGACCAAGATAACTAATGTACAAGGTTCCTGTGCCATAAGATTAATGCCCTCAACTTAAAAAGAGAAACATAATTAAATTAATTATTGAGACGAATAGAGTGTGTGTGTAAAATTTAGGGTCATACAAATACTACAAACATGATATCTAGAAGTGTCGTTGCATTGGATCATTGTTCATATATATATATATATATATATATATAGCTGCATGACTATGTTTACCAGTGACAAGAAGAACCCAGAAAATTAACAAATAGAAAGAAGATTGACCATCAAGACCAAATGAAAGAACCTAAAAGGCAAAAATCACAGACCATTCCAATTTTAAAATTTGAAGCAGTAAATAGATGTACATGATATGGTGGTGGAAATTAATTGGAAAATAATCAGAATAATATACCAAAACTCCTATATGTCAGCTAGAAACCCCCATACGAGTGAAAATTCATACTTTGACAAAGCAACATGCTAGCGTATATCTTAATAAAGAAAGAAATATCATTTGAGCTTGAATCAAAAGGACTGCAATTTAAAATTGAACATGACTAATTCCAAAATAAAAATTGACAAAGTAGCTCTAAAATCTTCTCTATTCTAAAAAGAAAAAGAAAATCAAATGTTCACAGCAAGAAAAGGAACAAAATAGATGAAGTTATCTCTCTTCCTCTCTCACTCTATACGAATCAGAGGCAGCATTCACCCTATGAGCTGAGATAAGCTCCGATTGGGAAATTGATTTGGTGCAATAATGTTAAAAAATAAGTTGATATTGTTGCTAAAATATATAAGAAAATCATAAAATTTAAATATGTATACGTTTTGATCTGATATGGTTGAAAGAGAGAGTGGATCGAGGAGGCATGATATG